GCAAGAAATCCTTCTCTGCAAAGTGGTTTTTGGTCATCTTACTTCACATCAGTAAGGGAGTTAATTATTGCTGGAGGAAACTTTGTGATGATAATTATCAGGCAAGTCTTTCCAGGAAATGTGCAAGTGAGAATGTTGGAGTATGGAGATAATCTAGGTGGCACTGACTCTGTAAGAACTGACCAAGAAAGGCCAGTGCTGCAGCCCCAAGACTAGGCATGACATCAAAATATAGGAATGGTACTGGCAGTCAGCTTTAAGTAGAACTAAAGAGGCAAAACTGGTGAGCAATTAAAGCAATTGCATGTAGGTCTGGGAATACAGAAAGACCCTAACAGAGCTGGATTCAGGCAGAGCTCACTAGGAAATGTGGGTACAGGCACCACATGACCAGGGATACTTCTGGAAGTGTGGAACTGGCAAAAGCAAGTGAGGTTATGTGGAGGTCACCAGGCAAACTTGGGGCATGTGCAGGTGGTTGAGGAAGGTTTAATTCTGTGGGGAGGATGCTGCAGCTGAAGTAACTGTGAGATCTGTTAGACACTAGCTAGATATGGGAGTTTGAGGATGTTGCTGGCAGGCAAGATTATTTGAAGTAAACAAGGCAAAGCAGTTGTGAGTTCTGTGCATTTAATGATGGAACTAGATCACAGAGTATGAAGACAGTACTGGCAGGGGACGTGTCACAGACCATGATCATACAAACTGGTGCATAAGATACACTTACTTTACTAGTATTTGGGAGTGTGTGGATGGTACAGGCAAGCCTGTTTCTCAAGAAAGACCCAGGGAAAGATGATACAGGAACTGTTTGGTCACAGACACTGTTGGGAGTAAATGGATGGCCTTGGTAGTAAAAATAGATCAAGATCATCAGGCAAATCTGATACATGATCTGCATGTCAACATTTGGAGTGTGCAGATGGTACAGGGAGGCATGGTTCTAGGGAATGCAGAGAGGAAATTAAGCTAAGGAGTACCAAGACAAACTATGTGTAACAAAAATTGCTAAACAGTCTTATTAATAAAAAACCCCTGGAGCCAGATATTGGGGTGAAAGCTGAAAGATCAGAGAAGCAGAGCAAACCACAGCCACCAGCTATTACCTCACACTCCACAAATCCTCTGACTGAAATCCTCAGCCTCAATAGCATGAGTTACTGTTTCCTCACTCTTTATATACCTTTCTGTGTCCTGCCATATTACTTCCTGGGATTAAAGGTGTGTGTGTTTCCCAAACGAAGTCATGAGATCTCAAGTGTTGGGATTAAAGGTGTGCACCACCATGCCTGGCTCTGTTCCCAGTGTGGCCGTGAACTCACAGAGGTCTGGATGGATCTCTGCTTCCCGAGTGATAAAATAAAGATATATGCCACCACTGCCTGGCCTCTATGTCTAATTTGGTAGTTGGCTCTGTTCTCTGATCCCCAGATAAGTTTTATTGGGGTGCACAAATAAAATATCACCACAACTATGTCTGGGGTACTGTTGAGAAGAAGTTGACATACAAGCTTCTGTTGGGATTCTCTTGCAAATTTTGTGTAAGCAATGAAAAGGAGCTAGTCCCACTAGAATAGATGTGTTCTACACAGGTGAGTTCTGGGAAACAAGCAGGGAAATTTGGTGCAGGAGCTGATTTTTTAGTCCTATGCTGGTGTAGGATTTGCATGACTAGATGTAGGATTTGAATTGCAGTTTTGAGGCTAAAAGATGACATTCTTGAGGAATCTCCAGGCAATACCAGTCTGCCAGTCCAGAAGTGGCAGATGTTCAGAGGAGAGTCATGAAGAAAGCTGATGTCTGATTCTGCATCCAGGCTTAGGACCTGGACTGAGGAGATTTAGGTCTACATGGTTCAGGGACACTCACCAGAGAAAGCAGATGCATAACTATGTGGCCACAAATATGCCTGGAGACATGAAGATGTCTCTGATTGCCAAAGGTCTTTGTAGCAGGGAAATGGTCTAAGCAATGTGTGCATCCAGAGGTATGTATCTGAATATGCAAGGAATGGGGCAGGATCAATTCTCAAGGTACATGAGAGGAAAGTCAGTGAAGGAACTTGTATTACCAGAGCAAGGCCAGGGAGTATGGGAATGACACTGGGCTGAAGAAAATTTGGGGAGCATTATAATGCAAATGAGTGCTTAATGTATGCTCACACAGATAGATAGGACTTGGGAGTATGAAGAAGACACAGGTATCAGAAATGATGGATCCACCAGGGAAAGCTGATACAGGAACTATATGACCAGAGCTATTGTTGTGAGTGTTAGGATTGCACAGGCTGGTGAGATGTGGTTGAGAGCACCAAGAAAATCTGATATATGATCTGCTCATCCAAAGCCCAGCCTTGAAGTGTTCAGATTGTTCTGGTAGGCCTGGATCTAAAGGGACTCAGCAGGAAATCCATATAGAAACAGTGACACAAAAAATAGGTCTTGGAGGATAAGCATGGCACTGTTGGATTAAGTTCTGTGTATCTAACCAGGAAATCCAAAGAACTGTGGTCATATCCACAACTATGTGAGGTGGTATGGAGATAGCTCATTGAAGCTGTATTTCATGAGAACTCATTAGGAAAATCTGGTGTGTAGCAGAAATCTTAAAAGTTCTTATTAATAAAATCAAACCTGAGGCCAAGTATTGGGGTGAACACTGGAAGATCAGAGAGACAGAACAAGCCATAACTAACCTCACCTGGCCAACTTCTCAGCTGGTCTGTTTCCTCAGACTGGAAGCCTCTGTGTCCTCATATCCGAATGGCTCTCAGCTGAACTGTGCTGCTAGAAGCCTGAAAGCTTAACCAGCCAAATGCTTCTAGTTTCTGGTCCTCACGCCTTATATACCTTTCTGCTTTCTACCACCACTCCCTGGGATTAAAGGTTCGCTTTCTGGGATTAAAGACGTGTGTCACCATGCCTGGCCGTTTCCAATGTGGCCTTGAACTCACAGAGATCCAGAGGAATTTCTACCTCTGGAGTGCTAGAATTAAAGGTGTGAGTGCCACCATTTTCTAGCCTTTGTATCTAGTGGCTATTCTGTCTCTGACCCCAGATAAGTTTATTATGGTGCACAATATTTTGGGGAACACAATACCACCACAGTAGTGCCTGAGGCAAATGACAAAAGCTAAACTCGAGAGTGAGGAGAGGGAACCCACAGGATTGATTAAGGGGAACATTCCCCAGGAAATGTATGACCAGAGATAAATCTGAATGATGATTACAGGCATGGTTCTGGAGACTTTACTGGACAATATGGGTATGCAATTTAAGTATCCAGAGCTAGGTCTGGATTATTAAAATGGCACATTCAGGCTCATTTCCAGCACCATTTAAAAGGTAAGCCAGTGCTGGAAAGTCACTACTAAAGCAAGATTGGTAGAGTGATATATCTGGAAGATAGATGTCTGATTTCACCTATCTATGCATATTTGTCCGCTAGGAATGGGACCTGAGGATCTGAAAGAATGGGGCAGACTACAGTTCTATGATGTAGATAACTTTACATCAGTTTCAGTGTACCTTTATACATGAATGTAATAAAGAAAGCAATGACCCAAGGAAGATTGAGTTCAGAAAAATATGATCAGAAAAACATGTAAATAAAGCTCAGTAACCACATACTAAAAAAGCAACCCTTCCACAAATATTTCTCAGGATGTTCTAAGCTGTTTCCTTTTGGGACACCAATCAGCTCCCAAATCATGACACGGAAATTTATGCTCATTTCTTGCTAGTTCTTATAACTTAATGTGTTTCTCTTCATCTATGTTTTGCCTCGGGGCTTTTTACCTTTCTTCCCTTCTGTATGTCCTACTCCATCTAGGCCCTGGCATCTCCCTCTCTTTCACTCTCATTTTCTCCTTTTTGTTCTCTCTCTAGATTTCTCCTATTTATTTCTCTTCTGCCTGCAGGCCCTGCCTATCTCTCTTGCATTTGCTTATGCTGTGTAGACAAATCGCTAAACAGTTTTATTAATAAAACACCAGAGCCAAATATTAGGGTTAAAACCTGAGAGATCAGAAAAGCAGAAAGAAGCCAGGCACCACGTTCTCACCACTTGAAGATCCTCAGACAAAGAGACCTATTTCCTGTATACCCATGCCTATATGCCTTTCTGTCCCTTCTGTCTCATTTCCTCTCCACCCAGCTATATCACTTCCTCTTCCTGCCCAGCTCTGTCCCTTCTTATCTGTCTGTACAGACCTCCAGACCTTTATGGCTAACTAGTGTTGGAATTGAAAGCATGTGCCACCATGCCTGACTCTGTTCCCAGTGTGGCCTTGAACTCACAGAGATCCAGACAGATCTCTGCCTCCTGAGTGATAGGATTAAAGGCATGTGCCACCATTGTCTGACTTCCATGCTTAATATAGTGGCTGGCTTTCTCCCCTGATCCTCAGATAAACTTTATTGGGGGACACAGATAAAATATCACCACAATGCTGCATTTGTTTAATTATGTAAAGATGTAGTGCATTTGTTTCACTTTGTCTGCCTAAGGCATCTGATTGGTCTAATAAAAACTGAATGGTCAATAGCTAAGGCCGACTCTGCTGTGTACTGCAGCTGGTGAGAGGCAGCACTAGTTTTCTCACTTTTGTGACCCCGGAGCCACCTCTCTCACCTGCTGCAGGTGTCAATGGGCAAGCAGTGGAGGGAATCTTTTCCTCATCAATGCCTCCACATAGCAGATAGAGGGTCAGTGTCAGCTCTCTTGCTCTCACACCCTCAGTTGGCTCATCTGCATCCCCTACAATAGAGTTAGTTTTAGTGTGCTGTCCAGGTGAGTTTTACACTTGTGGTGAGGGGGAGTGACATCTTTCCAGAGAGTGGGAGCCAGCTCTCCCCTGAGGGGCAAGGCCATCTCTCCTGCTGCACTATCCAGTGAGGGGCAGAGCCAGCTATTCCAGGGCTAGTGAAGGGGTGGGTCTGCCTCAGCACAGCCCTCAGATTTCCACCTGCATGATTCCTATGACCCATGTGCTAACACAGGCAAGCACACCTCATCACAGACTCCAGCTTCAGCAGGAACACAGACCCAGAAATGGCCCTTGGTAGCATCTCAGGCCCAAATGTCATCATGGCCCCAGTTACCAGCACCAGCTACCTTGATCAGTATGGCCCTGGTGGCAAGCATGGTCCTCAGAGAGCAACACAGTCTCAGGTGGCTGTCCAGACCCTGAGCATCTATACAGCCTGTGATGGTAACAGACACCTAGATCTTAGCTGCTGCAGGACCACAGACTCAGACATGACCCTAGGCAGCAGCTCAGGCCCAGATGTCACCATGGCCTTGGTGGCAGCACTGGCCACCCAGATCAGTATGGCCCTGGTGGCAGCATGGCCCTCAGATACCAACACAGTCTCTAATCATTGGCAAAGCCCTCGGTGGTAACAAGAATTATGGATATCAACTCAGACCCTGGCTGCGATCAGGCCACAGACCTAGACACTGGCTCTTGGCAGCAGCCTGGGCACAGATGATACCATGGCACTTTGTGGTATTGCAGGCCACTCAGATCTGTATGGTCACAGCTGCAACACACCCCTTAGAACCCTATCTGGCCTCAGGTGATAGCCCAGACACCAGGTACTTTCACAGCCCTCAGTGGCAATAGGAACCACAAACACCAATACAGACCCTGGCTATGTTAGGGCCATGGACCCAGACATGGCCCTTTTCAGCAGCCTGGCCCAGATAACACTGTGGCCCCATGTGACAGTACTGACCACTCAAATCAGCATAGCCCTGGTGGCAGCACAGCCCTTGGATACTAACATGGTCTCAGGTTGCAGCCTAGACCCTGGATATCCATGTGGCCTATGGTAGCAATATGGGCCACCAGACAACAGCACAGACCCCAGCTGTGGTGGGACCATGAACTCAGACATGGTCCTTGACAGCAGCTCAAGCCCAAATGTCACTATGGCCCCAGGTGGTAGCACAGGCCACTCATATTAGCATGGTCTCTGTGGTAGCATAGCCCTTAGACACCATCATTGCCTCAGGTTATGGACCAGACCATAGGCCTCTGCACATCCCTCAGTGGTGACAAGATACACCTACAGCAACACAGGTTCCTTGGCTGCTTTGGGGTCTTGGACTAAGACTTGACACTTGGCAATAGCCCAGGCCTGGACCTCACCTTGGGCTCAGCTGGGAAGCAGGTCATTTACATCAGCCTGTTCCTCACCATCCTCATCTCTTCTGATCCACCTCTCACCCCTGTCTCTGTCTCTGTCTCTTCTCTCTCTCTCTCTCTCTCTCTCTCTCTCTCTCTCTCTCTCTCTCTCTCTCTCTCTCCCATTTCCCACCCTGTACTCGCTCATCACAATGGTCCCCTGACACCTGGAAGGCTCCTGGTTGAGGCACAGGTGGCACTTGGTTGAGTCACGCATGCCCCCGCCACAAAGCATGACATGGAGATATTGATTTTCATCTCTCATATGCCTGGACCTAGAAACCATGAGCTTGGTATGATGGTGACCAACTGCCCAGTGCCAAAGGCCTAGAAAGTGCTGAGTGGCTCCTGGTTCGTTGTGCCTCACACACTTTATTTTTTAATACTATAATTTAATTCCACTTCCTCCCTCCAAACACTCCCACCTCTCCTTCAAATTCCCAGCCTCCTTTTTCACTAATAGTTATTGCATGCATATACATAAATCTAACTGGTTCAGTCCTTGTAATGCTACATGAATGTAGACTTTCAAGGATGACCTTTTGGCATTGCTGTGTCTTCTTGGGTAATGCCACCTGTCCCATTCTTTGCTTTCCTCAGTTTCCCATAGTTCTTAATGTAGGGTTGAGGCCTCATGGGCTTTTCTCCATCCAGTTTGGCATATTCCTTGGTGTCACCCTTGTTCATCTCATGTTTGGGCAGTAATGTTGGTAAGACTTTATTGTTATAGCTTCTGATATAACTGATATAACCGGGAGACAAAATCTCATATATTGGTATAGCTTCTGGAATTACAGGGAGACAAAAATCTCACAGACACAATCTCACAGATAAGTCCATGAGTGTTTGTAGATATGTCTATTAAGACTGTGCTCCACATCTTTGCATTTTTATTGGTTGTGGTTTTTCTATAGAGACCTCCAAATTGGCTTAATTTTTGCCTTTGACTCTTTCCCACCTCTACTGACTAGTGGTCATGGTATTTTAAAGTACTTGAAAAATAACTAGAGGAGAGAGATGACCACCAATATCACATGGCTGTAAATCCTTAGTACTAAAGTGGCCTGCCTGGAAAATATATTGATGTCACAGTGTCACAAAGGTTATGGGAGTAACCTTCCACATTTTTATTACATTCAAGGTCTCTACAAGAGATGGAGCCCATACACAACACTGCTGAAGCAGACAGGCACCTGATCTTAGATAGTCCATGGGCCTGAAGGCAAAATACTACTATTATTCTGATAAAGGAACATTGAAATAAAATGTCTCTTAAAGAAATATCACTCATATAATCCTTCCTTTCTATCTTTGACTGCACTCCAGGAGCTTTGCCCGGTGATTGACTGTGGATCTCTGCATCTGCTTCCATCAGTTAGTGGATGAAGGCTCTATGATGACAAGTAAGGTAGTCACCAATCTGATTACAGGGGAAGGCCAGTTCAGGGACCCTCTCCACTATTGCCAGTAATCTTAGCTGGGGTCATCCTTGTGGATTCCTGGGAGTTTCCCTAGCACCAGGTTTCTCCCTAACCCCGTAATGGCTACCTCTATCAAGGTATCTCTTTCATTGCTCTCTCTATCTCTGTCCCTCCCCCAACTTGACCATCCTGTTCCCTCATGTTCTCATCCTACATTCTCTCTCCTATTCCTCTCCACCCCTATCTTACCCAGGAGATTTTATCTATTTCCCCCTTCATTGGCTGATCCATGTGTGTCCCTCTTAGGGTCCTCCTTGTTACCCAGCTTCTCTGGGGCTGTGGATTGCTACCTGGTTACCCTTTTCTTGACATCTAATATCCACTTGTGAGTGAGCAAGGGGGCTGAAGATCATGATGGGGAAACCCACAGAGACAGCTGACTGATAGTGGGAACTTATGAACTCTGGACTGACAGCTGGGGAGCCTGCATGGGACCAAACTAGGCCCTCTGAATGTGAGTGACAGTTGTGTGGCTTGGTCTGTTTGTTGGGCCCCTGGCAGTGGGACCACAATTTATCCCTGGTGCATGAACTGGTTTTATAAAGCACATTCCCTATCATGGGATACCTTACTCTGCCTTAATACAATGGGGAGTGCCTTGGTCCTACCTCAATTTGATGTGATAGGCTTTGTTGATTCTCCATGGAAGGCCTTTCTCTCTCTGAGGGAAATGGATGGGGAGAGAAATGGGGGAAGGTGGGAGGGAAAGTGAGAGGAGGGAAGGGAAGGGAACTGTGGTTGGTATGTAAAATGAAAAAACATTAAAATAAAATAAAAAAGAAATATTGTTATACTCATGGATGACTACTTCACTCAATCTACATCATAGGAACTTGTGCTTCCAGTAGATGATATTAAAAAGACCACAATCCCACACCAACTCCAGTGTCGTCCATGTGAAATGAACAATTATATCTATAATAGTGGATGGCAGATATATGTCCCACAGGACTAAGCTCCCTGAAGGTACCTGGCAGAGTGCTCGCATTATGCTTCCTTCTCAAAGAAGATGTACTTCACAGATCATGAGCTCCCTGGGCTATGGGTTCTGTATAACTGCTTTTCTGATAATGTTCTAATTAATCTATGAAGCACAGCCAAAATTAATGAATGCTTGGGTTGTGAACTATGGAGGAAAGGGGAAGCTGGACATGGATCTTAATTAAATATAGCAGAATGAGCTATTTTTTAAAGACCCCAAGCTGCTAGATGAAGAAAGTATAATAGTTCAGGCACTTGTAGGGAATGAACACTCACCCACTAGGAATCCTTTAGGAATCCCAACTAAAGTGATTTATGGTAGAAAACGTTATCTCATAGGAGGCAGATGGTGGGCCCCTCTGTTAAGGAAGTTCAGCATGGGAAACTTAAGGACTACAGCAGAACCCCTTCCCCTTACAGGCAAAAAAGTACAAGAGTCCATATTCCAACAGGTAAAAAGGTTTTATATTAGAAGAGATAAGTGGTGGAAGAACTGAAAAAAGACTTAGAGAGGTTCTGCAGCATCCAAATTGGCTAAGTGGTTCATGAGAACCAGAAAAGTAAAAGTACATAATAAACTAGAAAACTGCTGAGATAAGATAAAGGACACAGCTGCAACCGCAAGAAGTCTACACAAGTCTAGGAACTGTATTAAGTTTAGAAATCACAGACTGCTCTTTGGGTCATAAAGTTCTTGTGGGTGAAGGGATAAGTCTAGCACCAATTAATAATTGTGTGCTTGCTGTTTTTTAAAGATGATGTAATTGAATTATTGCCAAGCTCTTGTTGTTCCTTGTATGACTTGATAGTTTTCTTTTCTGCATATAAACTACTGATTTGCAGAAGTAAAATTGCAGCAGATTCAAACCACTTCTGAGTGTGTTGTCTGTGTGTCATTCACTGAATCCTTGCCTTCCTGACTACCCAAGCCCTGGTTCTCCTATGGTCGTGGTAGCCCCAGTGGGCCAGTCTGTGGCACCACAACTGGGCAATGTGCAGATAGTGATAGACTTTGAAGTATTCTGTCCTAAGTGAGATCTCTTCATCAAGGCCCTTCCCTTGATACATGAGAATCTGAATAGAAAAAGATGAAAGACTATAGAAGCCAGATGTGTTGGAGTGATGGATGACTCAGAGGAAACAATGTCTTCCAGACATAATATGACTGAAACAGTTTAAGATCTCAGAGAGACTATGACCGCACACATAAGACCTACATAGGTTCAAACCAGACAGTATGCCAGCACTATGACATGATTAATCAAGAAGTTATTTGCAATTGACACCTACTAGGAAAAATAAAATCAATGTTTTTCAGTAGAATGTCACTGCATATATCTACTACTTGCCTGGGCAAGCCTCATAACCAGGAGTAATTGGGAAACACAAAGGAGATGCCACTTTTTTTCAATCCCTCAAATCTTTGTTTTGTATTGTTCTGCTTTTGTACATTTTAACTTATTAAATTTTGTTAGTTTTAAGAGTTTTCATGGGGTGGGAGTCATGAGCAAATGCACATGCATTTGTGTGAGAATGCAGGTGGTGAAGAATCTTGAAAAAATGGCAAAAGTGAAAACCATGATCAAATTATATGTATGAGGAAACTTTTTGAATAAAAAAAAATGAAATGAATTAATTATTCTTTTAAACCCTGACATATGACAGGGACATTAATCACTTTGGTCCTTTAAGATTATATGTTATGACATTGGATCTTTGCTCATAATCTGCTAGTCACCATTTTTAAAGTCATTCTCTTATCCTGGGCAGTCACTAATGTCTGGGCTTGACTGAAGAGACATAGAAGCAAGTATTTTATGTATTCTAAGTAGTTTTATTAATAACTTTCAATTTCAGAAGATGCAGAAGGCCGAAGGGCTTCTGATCACTGATATAAGATTCCGCTATTTTTTTGATATCATTCCATGTGAGTAAATCCTGCTGAATATCATAAGTGCTTAGAATACTTGTGTGTCTATGAAGGCTATGGAACCTGCAATGACCTTTATACCTGTGTGGTTTCCTGAAATTCAGCATGTGAGTTAGACTGTTTGTGTTGTTCTCCTATCTATAAAATGGGGTAATGATTTTGTGGCTCTCATTGGAGGGACAGGAATACCAGATGGGCTAATACCCCTGAAGTGTATAAGTGAGGATCCAACTAAGGAAGGCAGAAGAGGGGAATGGGTAGGTTTGTGTGATTTAGGGGTTGGTTGGTAATACACTGTTCTCAGCTGAAATATCTGCCTAACAGAACTTCTTTTACTGAAGGTGATTCAATTCTTGTGTGACTCCCTGTCTGGTCAAGAAGTTCTGTTATTTGGAAGGTACTTATGATCTTGCATCTTTCATATGGATCTCCTCACCTTTGATAAATAAAGGTAAAAACATGGAGGGTTTGAAATTGGGTCTTTGCAAAACATACATATCTCCTCTATGGGATTCAGACCTGGGCAGAACAGCATTCTCTACACTGATTCCAACTGTGCTTCAAAATACACTTCTCCTTTAGTCCACTGCCTCAGATGTGCCTTGGCAAGGATGAAGTTGTGGGAAGAATATTCTCAAGCCACAATCAACTGAAAACCCATCTTTCTGATATAACATCTCAAGTAGTACAGCAACTGTCTTCTCTAAGTTAGGAAGAACATTCCACATAGACTGTGTGTCGGGCAGTTGTTAGCTGGTATGGAAGATTTCCATGCAAGGAGATCCAGTTTATTGATCTCTAAAAACTTCTAAATGGACAGTGGCAAAGACATTATCCTTGTGCCTTCTATATACAAAACTTAGCCTTCTTCCTTTCTTCTCAAGTACTCTGTGGCATCCCTCAAGGCATAGTTTTTCATGAGCATCAATACTATATCAAAACAATTGAACTGAGAAGTGATTTGAATAAACTGGTACACACAGTAAAAGTAGAGACTCGGTTTTGTTCTATAGAAGATAGTTGTTCACACAAATAGGACACTTTATATGCAATGAATAAATCAAATTGGTTATCTGAAAACCCACATTTGAGTAAGTTATGGGTCAATGATGGAAATATCCATGAGTTCAGCAATCACTATTCTACTGAGGTATGTGCTTATCCCTCATATCTGTGTATTTTGAAAGTCATTCTAACTGTGACTAAATTATAAAATATGTATAGATTTTATTAAAAAATTGGCACCTTTCATAAAAATGTAAAAATAAGAAAGACTTTCTACACTGCTAGATTGAACAACCTAGAGTTACCTTTTGGGGTGTGTCTTTTATAGTCCATTCTCTTTGTCTGTGTGTGTGTGTGTGTGTGTGTGTATGCTGTGTATGCATGTGCACATACACAAATACATGCATCATGTATGAAATATGGACATGCTTGGAAAAACATGGGGATCATTTTTCACTTTGTGCCATGGACTGGGTCTCAGTAGGGCCACCAGACTGAGGGAGAACGGGGTGAAGGTGCTCAGGATAATTGGGATTCGGCGATGACAGACAGACACAGACACCAGAGTATGCTGTGAAACTGCTGCAATTTTACTGAACATCAGGCTGAGATTTTGTACAATCTTAACAAGGAACTAAGTCCAGGGGCAAAAGGAAAACAATAGACGCAATCTTTTGTGGTCACACAATGTGCTTTTCAGAATGATTAATCCTTTCAGACAGAGACATGCTGTGGCCTGAACCCTAAGAGCCAGATCACGTACTCAATAACTAGTGATCCATTTCTAGTAATTTATTAAAGACATTTACAAAGTCCTCGCCAAGAGCTTTAGCCCACCTCTTTAGCACAGGTGCTATACCCCTCAATATAGCTGACCTTGTCTGTCTATCATATGTACACCATACCTTTCTGCTTCTAACCAGCCTTTCCATAAAAGGCAACTGATTCCACAACATTATTTTCCCCCATGATTTACCCAACCGATTCCCTTCATAGTCATAAGCCCCTGTAAAAGGGGGTGGATCTAAGTAATTTCTACTTCTGGGATTTCAACGAGGGGGTGTCCACTATTTCCCATTAATACGGTATTGAATGTACTTTCCAACCGTTCTTGTGGGAGTTGCCAGTTTCCTAAGTTCTTTTTCTTGTGAGTTTGCATGAGCTGAGTGAGGATTACCTAACAATCTTTTTACTTTTACATTTTTTTCCTTAGAATCTGTGGAAACCTGAATCATTAGCTCTTTCTGTTCTAAACCATCCATGAATGCCCCCACTGAAATAGGGTTTTTATGTGCTATCTGCCCAAGGGCTTGAATCACTGGGGGCAGTGCTGGTGTAACAGTTGAGGAGTTATCAGGTATGTCAAGTGAGCGTCTACGGGAGTCCAGGCACAGGGAGGTTGTTATTGTCAGGAAAGAAGAAAGAAAAAGGAGTCTTGCCAACCATCCATGGAAGGCTGGTCTTTAGGGAACAATGTATCCAGGAACCATTGCCAGGGGACCGCCGGGGGCCTAGCCTCGAGAGAGACACGTGCCCCCCTTCCTCGTGAGACCACCAGATCGGCATTTGTCACACGGGCAACACCGTCGCAGGTGTGGCAACTTTGCTTGTTCTTTCAGCAGACATCAGTTTGCAGTGGTCCACTATAATAATGTAGAAATAATATATGAGAATTTTTCAGATTATAACTTTCATTTAAATTATCTATCATATTTATCTCTGTAATGAAAATACAGCTGAAATAAGCATCACCTTACATATGATATTGCAAACTCTTTTTTCACTGTTAATTCCAAACATTAAAATTCTTAGTTAACAAATATGTGTATTTCAGCATTTGACAGATACAGTGAAATTGCTAATCAAAACATTTTATAGAGGGAACCTCTGCTATAGTCATGGAGTTTAGGGCTTTTTATACTCTTGCCTGTAGTATGATGAACCCCAATACATAGGTAGACTATGTAAATACAAACTATGTGACAGCACAGACAAGGTATGAGAGCTGAGCTCTCCATAAAGCATGACTCATTTTGTTTTCCCAACTTCCCTTGTGTTCTCGGCTTGTCTATATCCTTGTTCAATCTCATCTTCAGATTTGCCAATGGAAACAGGTGCATCTTCATATTGAGTGGTCTCCTTAGCAACCTAACAGCTTTGGTGTTTGAAATAGTCATTGCAAGCAGCCAGTTGGTGCCTGTGGGGATTAGACAAGAACATTTTACAGTTTGTGTCCTGGCGCCCAACGTGTTGGCAAGAGTTTCCACCTAAAACCTGAGCAAAAAGATTCTAAAACGGAGCTAAAAACAGCTCCTAGTTGTCTCTTTTAAGCTAGCGGCAGCCTGCGTGTTTGAGCTACTATGGCGGGTTCCTGGCGTGCATGCTCGACCTGCCCTATGGCGGGAATGAGGCCTCTGCAAGGGGCACATTAAGCTGCATGGTGGATTTAGCCTTTGCTAGCACAAAACAAAAAAAAAGAGTATTTTGGGCTACACGTTGCTTGGATAAAAGCATAGAGACCCACAATAGCTCCCAGAGCTTGTGGTAAGCTACCGCTGCCATGTTGGGAAGCTGAGGTGGGCGGAGCCAGCAGCCACAGCTGCTGCAGCTTAAAGCAATAGACTCACAATAAGACAGATTCAGATGTAATAGGTTAAAATGTGTGTAAAATATACGTAGGCTTGAAAGAGACAAAAAAGGTGATATATACAGTTATAGAAACAAATACATAGTTTTAAAAAATAAAGTCTTTAAAGAGACAGTAAAATTAATATAAAAAATAAGCCATGTGAAGATGAATATTACACAGAGAATCTGGATTGTGTTGTCTTTGGGATTTTTAACTGAAGAAAAACATTTGATTACAAAAGCTGTTGAGTTATGCCAAAATGTGTATTTTAAAGGTACTTTGACTTCAAAATTTGAATATAAGGATATGTTGCTTTGGAAAAGAGTCTCTTTTGTTTCCACAGAAAGCCAGAGGCTATGGATTTGTTCCAGATTAAGATACATCAGGTTTGACCAGCCAAGACCCCCTGAAAGGTCTCCGATGACACCATGGCCCAGATGATCCAACATCCAGAATGGTTTCAAGGCAACTGGCTTAGACGATACAGCCTCACGGACTACTCCATGATCCTAAAATTTTCTTTGTTTCCCCAGAAGATACAGCGCCCCCCTCCAGCAGGAAGTAGTAAGAGAAGCTACGCCCAAATTCCCAAATATACCAAGCTGACTTTGAAGATGTGTAAAGGTTAAAACCTTCCTTTTTAAGAAAAGAAAAGGGGAAGTGCTGTGGGATGGTCTGTATGTCAAATGTGTTGCTGATTGGTCAATGAATAAATCACTGATTGGCCAGTGGCCAGGCAGGAAGTATAGGCAGGACTAACAGAGAAGAGAATTGAGAGAACAGGAAGCTGGGTGAGGGAGACACTGCCAACCGCCATCAGGATAAGGAAGATGTAAAGTACCGGTAAGCCACAAGCCACGTGGCAAGGTATAGATTAATAGAAATGGATTAATTTAAGCTGTAAGAACAGTTAGCAAGAAGCCTGCCACGGCCATACAGTTTGTAACCAATATAAGTCTCTATGTTTATTTGGTTTGGTCTAAATGGCTGTGGGACTGGCGGGTGTCAGAGATTTGTCCTGACTGTGGGCCAGGCAGGAAAACTCTAGCTACAGTGTCCTTTGGACTCTGTAAGGCTTCTTACCCTCAAGAGTTTAATGTCTCAGGGACTATAACCAAGATGCTGGTGCACATTCTTATCAATTCCACCTGGGGCATTTCACCTGAATTCACATTGCACAGAATCTGATAGCATGGGCCATTTTGATGAATCCAGTAGTTCTGGTTTTCAGTGAAATGGCCATTAAGATCAGCTACATGAAACACCCATATGTTGAGATGCATATGCTTCTGCCTTAGTTTTGTGTGTTAGCTGCCTCTTCACATTTGCTTCCATGAGCTGGAACCATGTGGTAGATCTATATGGCCAAACCACTCTTGACTTTCCAACTGCCTTTCCTGTTAAAAAAGAAGCCCTAATAAGCAAATACTTTACTGCTGTGTTCCCATTAGGGGTCCTTACTACTGCCATATCACTCTTTGGTGTGATCATGTTTCTCTGTGAGATAAGTTCTTTGAAACTAGAGTCAGGTGAAGGCCAAGTGTGCTTCCAAAATTACCAAACAAGAGGTCTGAAGCAAGAGCTCCTACATTTGCAACATCTGTCAAAATGCTCCTTGAAGAAATTTCCTATTTACACACAAAACTCATGTAGTCATCACCTCATTCTAAATAAAGCCTCATCTTGGTTCTCTGAGTGTGTCTAAATTACTTCCTCCTCTGTCTAAAGTGTTCCTTTCTTTGAATATTTTTACATCCTAAACTCTGGAGATTGTGGTAGTTTGAATGTAATTGGCCCTCATAATCTTGTAGTGAGTGGCACTATTAGAAGGTGTGGCTTTGTTGGAGTGGGTATGACCTTGTTGGAGTAAGTGTGTTACTGTGGCAGTTGACTTTCAGTTTTCCTATGTTCAGGATATTGCCCAGTGTTTCAGTTGACTTCCTGTTGCTGGCAAGATGTAGCACTTTCAGATCTAGCACCACTTGAAGCCACCATGCTCCTCATCATGATGATAATGGCTGAACCTCTGAACTTGGAAGTGTTTTCTTTATAAGAGTTGCCATGGTCAGGTTAGGGAGACCTGGCTGCAAAGGCATGGGCCTAGGAGAGCAGGCTCTACCTCTCACCTGATGAAGTGGTCCCAGTGACCCAGACCAACCACCTCAACTACCACCCAGACCCACATTCTGGTCCTTGATTTGGCCCATCCTATCAGCCACCCAGGTGTGACTTGCTGGAGTGCAGGAAGGGACTGATGTTATTAGTTGTTTTTTTGGTCTTTTGGCTCATTTACTCTTTTGGCTCTTTTATCTTTACTCTTTTTGTGGGGCCTGCCACCCAGCTCCCAAATAAACCACACATGGAGGCTTATTCTTAATTATAAATGCCCAGCCTTAGCCTGGCTAATTTCTTGCCAGCTTTTCTTAACTGAAACTATCCCATTTACCTTTTGCCTCTGGGCTTTTTCCTTTTTTTACTTCTGTACATCTTACTTTCACTCTTACTCCATGGCTGGCTATGTGGCTGGGTGGCTGGCTCCTGGTGTCCTCTTCTCCTTGTTCTCTTGCTCTTTCTTCTTCCTCCCAGATTTCTCCTTCTATATATTCTCTCTGCCTGTCAGCCCTGCCTATCCTTTCTCCTGCCTTGCTATTGACCATTCAGCTCTTTATTAGACCAACAGGCATTTTAGATAGGCACAGTAACACAGCTTCACAGAGTTAAACAAATACAACATAAACAAAAGTAACACACCTTAAAATAATATTCTACAACAGACTGGTCATGCAGAACAATAACCACAGAATCTACATGACTCTGGGCAACAACAGGATATCCAAGAAGAGTTTTGATTAGGTCCCCCCTGATGATGGTGTACCAGAAACCAGAGGCCTTGAACAGACCAATGACTCATTGTCATGAACATTTTGCAAGTGGGGCTGATAGGACGAAAGGGGCATACTACATGACATGCTACAGCTCCCAATGTCACTAAGATAAATGAAGAGGTGTTGGAAAGATAGAGGAGTGAGGTGGGGTTTTTTTAGTTGTTTTGTTTTTAATTAATTTGGGTGGCATACTGCACAGGTGAGGGGTGGATGTGGAGGGACTGGGAGGTGAATGGGATTAGGGTACATGGTATGAAATTTCCAAAGACTCAATAAAGTATTATGTTTAAAAAATGAGATGCCATGGTCATGATATCTCTTCATAGAAAAATATCCTAACTAAGACAGAAATTTGTAGATGAACGATCTTGTTAAATAAAAAACACAGAGCCAATGCAGAGATGAAAGCCCAAGAGGTCAGAGCTAAGAGCCTTACCCTTCACTGCTGTTGTCCTCTTTAACAAGAGATCTACATCCTTGTCCTTTTTATTGACTTTCTATTCTGCCTTCTCATTGGTTGTAAACCCAAACACATGATCTCCTCGTCACTGCTTGTCTGTACAGACCTCCAGGTCTTCTATGGTTGGTATTGAGATTAAAGGTGTGTGCTACCACTGCCTATCCTTTATCTAGTGGCTTTTCTGTTCTCTGACCCCAGATAAGTTTGTTAGGGTACACAATATTTTGGGGAACACAATACCACCACATTTCCTCTC